TATAATAAGGTAGGAACTATTATTATTACATTTAACAGAAAAGAGATACAGGAAAGTAGAATCATACAGAATGTCTGGGCTTTGAAGCAAGCCACTAGGAGGAAGAAAAATTCTTTGAAAGATTAATCCATCTGCCCATTCAGGATCCTTGTTAGGCGTCTTGTACACTAGCCAGAAAAATAATAATCTAGAACAATACGAGCAGAGTAATCAATTAACATCAAAACAGAAGGATTTCAATTACCTTCAACAAAAATCTCCTAAATGAAAGAATATATAGGGGGAAAAAGTTCACTAAGCAATACTGTGAGATGTCCTTCGTAGGGATCAGAACTAACATTCAGACTTGATGGATGGTGTTAGAAAACCCCTTCAGGTACGGAAGGAATTAACCTAGAAATTTGTTCTAGGCCTATAGGAAGTAAGAGTTAGTTTTAATTAAGAAGACAGAGAAGGTAAGTATGAAAGAGGCTCCCCCGAGTGCCTCTCACCTGGTTTACACAGAGACAGTGCTTGTTTTGACAATATAACCATCACAGCTTCCTAGAACTGAGCTTGCCATAAATTATTTATAAATTATTTGTTGAATGAATGAATTAAAGAGAATAAAGATTATAAAAATAAAATGCTTGTGGAGAGTCCCAGATAGTTTGGAAAGTAGAAGTAAGGCAAGCTTGAAGAAATCCAAGGAGGGCAACATGACTACAGTATCAGGAGTCAGAATCAGAAACACAACTCAACAAGTTGAGTTTGGTCTGAAAGACCTCTAAATAAAAAAGTAAGAGATAAAACAAATTATATGGGCAACTGCAATATTAGAGATTAAGTCCTATCAAAAATTTTAAGTAGAGAGCAAGGTGTTCAAGTTTTGTCAATATGGTGTTTCATCAATACACTGCTAATAAAAAAATTCCCTCCCTCTCTTCCTTTCCCAAGTCAGGTTCTCATTCTGTCACCCAGGCTGGAGTGCAGTGGCACAATCACAGCCTCTCCACAGCCTCCACCTCCTGGGCTCAGGTGATCCTTCCAGCTCAGCCTCCTGAGTAGCTGAGACTACAGGTTCACGACACTATGCCTGGCTAACTTTTTTGTTTTCATTTTTTGTAGAGACGGGGTCTCACTGTGTTGCTCAGGCTTCTCTCAAACTCCTAAGCTCAAGCAATTACAGGCATAAGCCACCGTACCCAGCAATGTAAAGACTTAAAATTATGCAGATAATAATAAAAGCAGTAGCAGGTAACACAAAGGAGCACTTCTCTTGTGCTCCCTTGCATGCTTTAAGTATAGAGAACACCAGTTAAGCACAGGCACTCAGATTGATTCCCCTCCTCTCTCTCCAAATAACCTTGGTCAAATCACTCAATTTCACAGTATTCTGGTATCTTGAGATAATAATAACATCTACTCTCTAGGCATAAAGCTGCAAAGATTAAGGGAAAATGTGGAAGGGGAGAGAAAAGGGAATAAAGGTAAAATAGAAGAAGGAAAGTTAGTTGCAATTTCACATAAAGATAGGCATAATCAGTGCAGCCTGATGAGTGGGACAGGTACGTTGCAGAGAGAAAGGCATTCTCAAAACAGCAAAATAGAACTGGCCCATCACACCACCAGTCTAAACTATTTTTGAGTCATCAACCACCTTGTACTTTTACACTTACATTTTCCCTTCATTTAATTATTTTCAAAGATTTCATTAATTTCCTATATTTCTGTTTATGAACATCTCCACCACTGAACCATGAGTTCCCTGAAGACAGAGGCTATGCCTTAGATTTTCATGCTCAGCTCTGAGAACCATGCTAGACACACAATTAATTAGTGTACAATAATTGAGTGAAAGATAGAAAAACATCATGTGAAAAGGAATTTATATGAATGAGCATTATAAGAACTTTTGGGTAAAAGATATGGAAACACTTTCACAAAAAAAAAAAAATGGGTAAGAACAATGAATTATCTATTTATGTACATTACATTTAACGCATATGTAATATATACACACACATAAACATATATCAGGTGTGTGTGCAAACATATAGTTTGTTATTAAGATCTCCCAAACGTGATTTTCATTAAACTTAACTCCATTACTTGTTATTTCATCCCACATCATTTCTTCTTACTAGATAATGAGCACAAGTTCATGCCTTTTCCTATTTTGAAGTGAGAAATTTAACCTAAGGTTGGAAAGGAGAGTAATGACAACTACCTAAAAGGGGTAGAGGAAAGATGTTAGCAGACTAGAACAGGGGCTGTGCTGGTCTCTTGAATTAACTCCAGGAGAAGTAGAACTACTTAGGTATTCATCACTGTCCTGGCTCTCATTATCTAACTATCTTTACCACCTATCTTCCTGAGTTTCTCCCTTGAATTCAGAATTTTTCCCTGGATTGGCAATCTGATTGAACTCTGATTAACATGGCGTCTGAGCAACCCCCCACTGGTGAATAAAAGTTCTACATCTTCACAAACTGATCCTAAAACTCCACTCTTTTCTCCCAAATTTAGAAATTGTCAGTCAAGTAACTCCCTCTCAGACAACTTGATTTCAGTAAGTTGTAATTCTCCTTAAATGCACACACCTTATATCAAGGATGCTCCCCTCTGTAACTAGGATATACTTTAAGTCCTAATAAAACAACATTTTCTTTATATGTGTTAGCCCAGTTTTTCATGGGTTCCCAATCAAGACAAAACCTAGCATCCAGTCTCAAAAAAATATGTGAACTAAAATGAACTAGTGAAAGAACCATCAAGGAATCAACTCCCTCCACTGCTTGCCTCTGAGCATGTGAAACAGGAGACACAATTAGATTCTACTCAGAAAGTCCCCTTTTCCTTGAGTCTCTCAACTGAAAACAGAGCTATTAAAGTGGAGGGAGTGCTGGGCTAGGCGGCTCAGCCTGTAATCCCAGCACTTGGGGAGGTGGAGGATTACCTGAGCCCGCGGGTTCAAAACTCACCTGGGCAACTTGGCGAGACCTCATCTCTACAATAAAAAAAAAAAAAAATTAGCCGGGCACGGTAGCATGCACCTGTAGGTCCGGCTACCTGGAATACTGAGATGGAAGGATCGCCAGAGACCTGCAGGTCAAGGCTGCGGTGGCCGGGAGCCTGCCAGTGCACTCCAGTCTGGGTGATAGAGTGAGACTCCAACCCAAAAATAAATAAATAAATAAATAAATAAAATTGAGAGAGTAAAAGAATCTATGCTTGGGCTAGAAATTTGCTCTTCAATACTAAGGCATGCCAAAAATGCGCATATTATTAGTCCGAAACTAATGTCACCTACTCCAATTCTTGAGGCTGTGTCTTTTACCTACATCTCTCAACCTCATCACATATTAGATTCAAACTATAACATTTCCACTAAACCCTGTGGTATCCTCTCCACTGTAATTTCCATCTCAGCAAATGTTAGGACACAGTTCTTTCAGCAAAATTAAATCTTGCTTCAGACAGACCTATTCCCACCTTACACACCCACAGTCTTCTAACGTAATCTTTCATTGTACTGAATTTCAGTAGCACAGAGCCAAGGTTATAAATTCTGTGAAGTGTTCACTTTTTTTTTTAACTGCCCAGAAACATTCACTGATTATTTCATCCAATTAAACATCATATATTTATTAGCCTTATCAACTAATCAATGGTTTCTTACACCTAGAGGGTGTACAATAAAAGCTTCATGTCCAACCAAATAATAAAATATTAAGTACCAACCATGTTTAAAACCAATAGAATTCTCATACCATGCATTTTGATTCCATGGACTTTTACAATATGTTCTCTGACTAAAATATCCATAAGTAACATTATTGTCACTGAGGAACAGTCACCGGAAACCACAAAGTAGTATTAAAACTTCAACCTAAGAGCACATAGTCTTTTAAATATTTTGTGTAGAAAAAGTGTCTTATAATAACATGTTTTATAAATTTTGTAGTCGAAATGTCATACCAAATGTCTTAAAGAAAAATCAGAATGCTGTAAAAGGCAAAGGTGGCTATAGAACAGACTGAAAGGTGCAAACCTGTTCTAGACATAGTGCTCTGAAGACAGACACCTAAAAAGATCAGTCAAGACTTTATTAGATAAAAATAAGAAGGTACCAAACACTATTAAAACGCCATAAAGCTGGTGTTTCAATTTCATAAAGCTAAAAATAAGTCATAGTTAGAATGACCTAAAAGGAGAATTAAAAATAAAACAAAACAAAATAGGGTAAGGTCTATATCACGAAGTGATTAAAGAGATGGAAGAGAATTCTCTTCTAAGTCATTAAACTCACCAAAATTATATTGAACTCCAGAGCACTTAGCATTTTCCTGTGCCATTAGAGAATTTAGTGAGTTCACTGAATTGACTGATTTCTTTGTTAATCTATTTACATGGGTTAAGACCCTGACTGACATAAAACACTACCAAAAAATGCCAGACAGAGAGTGTAATGAAAGACTGAGTGATGTATGGTTTGGGGTACAGCCTATGCAATGAATGTGCTTGGGCAGCAAAAAACCCACTGGCAAAGATTTATAATCAGAACAAATACATCCTAAAAAGATCTTTTATAATAAAACCTGCAGTATAAACACAAGCTACTTTAAAATACAGTTATTTATTTTTTCCCTGTATATTTTATCTTTCAATGACTATATTAAAATTTTCTTTTATATGTTTTATTCAAGAATAAATTTTTTAAACAAGTGAAACCAATGAGTATAGCATATAAATATGAGTAAAGTGTATAAACTGCCACTAGTAGTGTAGTTCTTTGATTCATACAAAAGGAAAAAAACATATATTACTTAGAACTCTTCAACAATGTCTGCAAATATGTAAAGAGAAGGAAATATTTATAGGAAATATATTATCAAGAAAAAAGGTAAAAGTGAATCACCCTCTAGAATAAATTATCATTATGTTTTAATTATATATACCACATTAAACCAAATTAAGAAAGTTAATCACAGACATAGAAATGATTTTAAATGTTATACCTCCAAGTTCTTTTACATTCAAGATGGCATTCTGGAATGGCACTGCTTTTATACTAAAACCTAAAATCAGAAAACAAAAACAAAAAAATTAGAAACTTTTCAATTAAAATACTTAAGATGCTCAAATCCTCTTTGTTTAGACAGGTTATGATTTACTTTTCTTAGCTCATATTTATACTAGAAACATATAATTTTCAAGATAAACTGATAACCCAATATTCTATCATTTTTTCAAAACATAGTTGTATATTACAGCAAAATATAACTATTCCTTTTACTTCAAAATATTGCCTTATTCTTATTCTAATATAAAATGTTACTGCAACTTTTATCAACTATAAGAAAGATATTTGAAACTACAGAGAAATTTCCACAAAAGAATATTAAATTTACATGGACCCTTGATCTAATTAATTCCTACAGTTAATGACTTATAATTTTTTCACATTTATAGCCCAGAAACTCTAGAAATTAAGGTAAACAAACATTTTACATTAAAAGTATATGGTATTTATGTTAGTATTATTTTTATTTTATTTTGAGTTGGAGTCTCATTCTGTCGCTCAGGCTGGAGTGCAGTGGCATGCTCATGGCCACTGCAGCCTCGACCTGCAGGGCTCAGGTGACCTTCTGCCTCAGCCCTTCAAGTCACTGTAACTATAGGCACGCACCACCACACCAGGCTAATTTTTTTATTTGTTGTAGAGACAAGGTCTCACCAAGTTGCCCAGGCTTGTCTCAAACCCCTGGTCTCAGGCAATCCTCTCGACTCAGCCTCCCAAAGTCCTGGGATTACAGGCTTGGGCCACTGTGCCCAACCAGTATTATCTTTAAAGGACATGGTTAATATGCCATACACTCTTTTTTCTTAAACGTACAATCATAATTATCCATTTATGCACACTCATTCTATAATGTATGTAGTAAAAGATTTGTATTATAAGAATATATTCAGAGTATACAGTTCTAAGATTAACAATGTCTTTAGGGATTAACTATTGCCATTCAAGACAATCAATCCAGTTGTGACATACATGAGTATACATATACCCATACACCACATATAAATATATACAATGAGTCTTTCTAAAAGGATCTACAAGAAATTGGAACTAGTAATAACTCTCACAATAATTGGGACCAGGAAGTCTTAAATGAGAGGGAGATCCTTTCATTTCTTTTTTTTTTTTTTTTTTTTTTTT